ATTGCAAAGAGAAATTGAAGGTTTAGACAAATATCTTTGGCTAGTTGAAAATGGACAAGATCGAAAGGTTTTCTTTTGAATTGGTTGACATCGTTTATCATTTTTCTTTTCATAGATCGATCTGACAATGAGCAATGAGGATTGGAATGAAGTGCATGATTGTGTGACTGTTGAACGTCGTCGCCCCGCATCATCTGATGAACCTGATTCAGGCATTGAATTACCATTTGGTTGGATCAAACAATGGAGTGAACGAGAAGAACAATTTTATTATTTTAATACACACACGAAAGAATCGCGTTGGAAACCACCAAATTGAAAAGCTACTTTTTATCAATGATTATCATCTATGTCGTAATTAAGAATTTTTATTTAATTAATGAATAGAGAACTATAGTAATTCTTGTTGCTATCAAAGCTGATCAGTTATCTATGGCGTATATCATGATAATGCAAATATAAATGAATAAAAACACCCACACCCTAATTAAAACAATTTCAAAGTATCAACGGTATGATTTTAATGCAATCATTGCCAAAGAACAGCAGCCAATCCTGATGATGATTTCGTTACACTGTCTGTCGCCTTTCCTCTAAACAGTATCCAGAATAGGATATAGTTTCACTTGCATGAAAATACCTCTACCAAAGGCATCTTCGTTTGCAACCTTATTCTTTAATTTTTTACGATTAAAAACTTTTTTTTCTATATATTCAATAATGAAAGTATAATATCTGTTTCACATGTAATATTATGACAATCACTAATGTTCAATAGCAATAATATCTATATATTTCAAAAAAATGTTAGACTTTTTGTTTCAGTTTTTCCTTTCAATCGTTCATATGCATCTTCAAAAATGGGTTCTTTGATCACACCAACACGATGGTAGATTGTGCGAGTACTTATATACGGTGACAGTTGTTCAAATGCATTTCGAAGTTCTTTTCGTGCTTTTCTTCTTTCTGATAGGACTTGCCGTGTTTCATCACCGTTTGCCCATAGTGATGTTGCATTGAGATAAGCTCGAACAGCATCTCGGTGAGCTGCTTCGGCCGCAGCTTTTCCTTCAGTATCGGCACGAAAGGCTTCGTACATGGCATTATCCTCCTTCGTTGGCGGCACATATTTGAAATCTGGTTGTGCACCATTTAATCTTTTCGGAAGAACAGCTGGATCAATATATTGAGATAATTCTTCATTGCTGTGAATAAATTGTACTTTCTTTTGAACTGTTGGATTTAACCACGATTTAATTAATGTCCAACTTTTACCTAGAAGCCAGGGAAAATTCACAATAAGAATAAGACCGAGTGAGTCTGGATAATAATTATCAAGCAAATGAATAAGAAATTTCACTTGATGAAAATCCATATTCTTTGAATCACAACCAGACATATCGAAAATAACTGTAACGGATTCAATAGGTGGTTGAAGTAATTTTCGATAGGTTTCTACACAGAAGACAGTCAAGCGTTCACTGAACTCATGAGGAAATTGTCCTTTGATATGTTCTTTTGGATGAATACAACAAACTGGTCTTCCCATTTTATCATGACCCATAAAATATGTTTTATTTGTTGAGATCTCTTCTTCTGATATGGCACGTTCACCTTTAGCTACTAGCTCTTGCACGCCCCAATCTCGTCGCCATTTCAATGTTTCAATTATCTGATGGATACATGCTTGAACATCCCATTTACGAGAACGAAGCCATCGTAAGAGCAGAACATCGGGATTATCATAACCCATTGCACGAAATAATTCGTCTCCATAGACAGAATCAGCTATATGTTTAGTCGGTACCGAAATTTCTTTATTCACAGCTTCAATTAGACTCTTCCACGCTTGCCGAAGTGCATTAATTTGTGCACGCGTAAGATTGTCTGAAATGAAATATTCACCAATAAACAAAAATTATCTCATCATACTACGCAGATTTACTTATGTGTCCAGGATCGTTCGACGTCATTGTGTATGAAATATATTTAAAAATAAATCACAGTTGTTGAATGAATCAACGAAAAACGAATTCTATACATAAGGAACATTTTCAGAGCAAATGTCGTCTTTCAAGAATCGATCTTACCTACTCGCGTATGTATAAACTGCAAATAAATGTTACTGTTGAAAAATAATGTCTTTTCATAGCTGGATACTTATAATAGTCATTATGCAGAATCGATCAACCGTAGCATCATTTCAATGATGATATCGATGTAAACAAATTATACCAAGATAAAGGTACATCCCAAGTTTTTTTTTTCGTGTGCTGTCATGTTCTACGTCGTTAACATGTGCGTCATGCAAGGACAAAGGATAAATTCGAAAATAATCAGTGAGTCAAGAGATACTTAAACAAAATGCAGTGTCATAATCAGTTGTACTGGATGAGCGTATATCCCAATATTTGTTCTGTAAGAACAATTGTATGATTACGTCCTTATCTAATATTTTCTGCTGAAAAAACATATCAATATGATGTACTCATGGCGCTGAAAGTTTTTCTACTGTAGTCTAGATGGCTGTGCAATAACGACGTGCGTGTGTAATGCTTCAGTCGTTAAGAAATATTTTGGAGCGTGTTATTCAATTATTTACTGTCATTTAAGGTGATTTGATTTTTGTGCTTACACGTGTGTATTTGTTTTCCAAAGTCCACCCATTTGCGTATTTAGTATCTTGATTGAGAATGCGATACGATTGAATCCGAGGACAGTTGAAAAAAAATGTAAGAATAGCTTCCTCTGGTAATGTGCTAGATGGTTCAAATAAAATTGTTTTTTTTTAATTTGAGCGATATCGAATCAAAGTAAATTCACCATCAGTTGTGACTACAATATTTACTGAATCAACATCATCTTCAGGGCGAGAAATCATTTCATTTATTTTATGGTTTTTATCTTTATCGCATCCTAGTATCGCGTATAATATTTCGGCCATGCTGATAGAGTTAACCGCATCGAAAAGAAGCTTTTCCGTGATTGATTATTAAAATATCCCAGCCAATGGAATTAGCGGTTTACTCAATTTTTATGAGGTCACATATAAAAAGTTAGAATATATAAATTCGTATTTCTTTTTCTACTTGATCGACTTCGTTTGCAGAGAAAACGATATAAAATCGCCTGTTCAAAGCACAACTTCATTCAGATGTATTTATGTACAGTAACAGCACAATAGTCTCGACACAATAGAGACAGATACTTGTGGAGAGGACACATTCGTGTTTGATAAGTCTCTGAATAGGCTGAACATAAAGAATCTTGTTTTTCAAAAAAGTTTTATATTTGAAACAAACCGAATGTATATTTTGTTACTTTTACAAAAATACGAGTCATCGTACAAGCGCATTCTTGAATTACTTTCTTTTGTAATCTGATATCTTTCCTAAGATATAGTGCATTGTGGTCTATTGGCTTCGTTGACTTCCTTGATCAATATACCATATACTCGAATATCTTGCGGATTTTGAACGACCCATATGTCTTCATTGGAACTTACA